GGGGGACGAGCGCACCCCAGTGCACCCTGCACCCGAGGCAGAGCGCCCCGCAGACTCTGCGGGGCCCTGAACGCGATCTGACATCATCGCTGATGCTCTTAATACTTTTGCCATCTCCTTCTTCCTTTTCCCGGTTCCCGGGATTCGAAGGATGAAAGAGGGAGACTGAGCCACACCGTCGGGGTGGTGACTCGACTGGACAAAGCCCGGGGAGGCGAGGGCGGAGGAACTGGGAGCCATTTTGCAGGGGCGCTGCTCCCACTGGCTCCGTTCATCCTAGGGTGGGCCAAGAAACCAGCTCTACGCTGTGGGCTTCTTCGCCTTGTTCGTCTTCACGTTTTATTTTCCTGCTGAAAACTAAGGTCAGCCCCAGCGACCTAAGGGGCTTTTTGGGTGGCCGTCCCACTCGCAGATCTAGAAAGCGATTGAACCCCCAATGCGGTGAGAGCCTTCTCCTCTTCCTTTCTTCCCTCAACTCAGAAGCCCTCGGGATCTTGAGCTGATGGGAAAGTTGCCCCCATTACACCTTATTCCACTCTTCTCAGATTTGGGAGGTACCTCAAAACTAACCATTTCCACCTCCTACATTAAAAAGTTGAAAACATTTGGAACAGACCGCTCTATTCTTGTACAGAGTTATGATGAATACTTAATCTGACTCCTTCCTCTCTCCCCCACCCCCCGGGGGTAAGGGACTTAGAAAACCCTAAACGATTTTCCTTACAGCTTATAATGTGTTCAATGAACTCTCCCAAGGAACTGTAACATATGCCAATTATTTTAATAATTTTGCTTAATATTATTAGGGGTAATAAATTTGATTTTAATAGAGAGTTGATTGCTTCTGAAGTTAGAGCTCAGGCAGGCTAGAAGGGCCGCTGGGGAGAGAGCGAAGTCTGGCGTTTGTCACCCCGAGTCTCACACTGTAGGATGGATAGATGGAGTCTTTCCCTCCCCGCTGAACAGGTAGCAGCCTGGCTTCCGGGAGGCCGGCCTAGCCCTGCTCTCCCCAAGCTCCCTCGGGCCTGCCCAGCCAGGCCTGCGGCTCTGGGAGAGAAGGGGAGGGAGAAAACAGTCTGCACCGCAGTCTGCACAACAGCCCGGACGCCCTGGGGTTCGGCTGGGGAAGATCTAGGCGGTGAGGGGCGACCCTACCGAGGTGCTGCTGCCGCCGCCACAGCCCCCACCTTCTCGCCGCTGGGGGAGATCCTAGGCCGCCCAGGGCCTCTCCGAGATCTAGGTACACCCGTGGAGAGGGAGATGTCTCAATGGTTCAGGGATTTAAGCATCATTTCCTCCGCCCTTAGTTCCTCTCCGGTGGTAGCTGCTAAAATTATTTTTGCTTTCTTCCTTAGGGCGTCTTTCCTGAAAACTCTGACCAACTCCGAAGGTTAAAGGCAATGCTGCAAACCTTCCAGAAAAGCTTAGGCACTTTCAACTGGCAACTTTGTGTCTTAGTCTACTTTATCTTGCTGAATTCTTGCAAAGGTTCTTTCATTTGGGACCAAGTTTGTTGTTCATCTCAAAAGAAAATTAAAATGTACTCTCACCTTCTCTTGAATACCCTGGTTATTAGTGCAGAGCTGCTTTGCTTAAAGATAAGCAGCATTTATGGAGCAAGCTCTCTGCATAAAATTTCAAGGAAAGGGGGAAAAAAAAACTTCTGGTAGAAACAGGCCCCTTTAAACTATAATCATTGGGCCAAGTTCAAAAACAAAGTACTCAGCTCAGTTTTAAACGTGCAATTAAAAATAACTGTACCTCAGCTTTTCAGAGGGAGGGAGAGGAAGGGGGCAGGGAAGGGGAAAACAAAGAATAAGGAAATGTTTAGTGCTCTTAAATCCAGTCCAAATAGCTGAAAGAAAGAAAGGCATTCCCTCAGATAATGGAGCCATTAGAATCTCTGAAGGTTCCTGCCGCCATTCCTCACAGGGGCTTTCCAAAAATTTAATTCACTCTCAGCTACTAAACAAAGGATGTAGAAAATAATTTTGAGACTTTCTGCCAAAGAGGCAATTCAGCCTTGTTTCTATGCATACACCTTCCTTCCCAGAGTGCCTGGTGCTTCTTCCCACTTTGATACATATCCTGGGTGAACCGTCTAGCTGCCTCCTCCCCATTTTTTAAAAAATAACTTTGCTGGAAAGAGTGGTATGTTCATGCAGTTTCAACACATTTTATTATATTTCTGTATGCATTACTCTCAAAACATCACAAGAAATGATCAAACCACTTAAAACCTTCAAATAAAAAATCTGAAACAGTTTATGCCCACAATTGTACATATTTATAGTTAAGAAACATTCTTTATAAATATTGTTTCCTCTGTAGCAAGTTAATACCATAATTTAATTACAAATGGATAAATATGGTAACGGGTATTTACAGAAGGAAGGGTGTTATTACGGAAAAAGCTAACGGCACGACGTTTATTTTTCCCCCACAATCTTTCATACAGGAACTAACAAATTGAACTTGCAAAAGCACTAAAACATCACATGTAAACCCAGCTAAAAGAAAAATACATTCACAAGCGTTGTTGGTGGTGTGTATGTGTGCTATGGGTTGGTGTGTTGAAGAAACAGAAGGGAGACTTTGGCACGGCTCGTTTTCCCCCCCCAGTCTAGAGTTGCATGAAGTTTACAATCAAGTTGCCTTATAAAAAGGAACACAATATTCAATACCACAGTACAAAATAAACCATTTTCTTTCCACATTACTTAAAAAAGAAACCAGGTAAACTAAAAAGAGAAAAGAAAAAGCCCATCACTTAGGGAAGGGAAAGAAAGGGAAGAGGAAGGCAGGAAGGAACGCAATCCAGAGTTTACAAATGGACAAACTTCTATACACCAAGAAGCCATTAAAATCACCTCGGAGAAGGAAGGAGTCCCGCTATGTACAGTTTGTCAGAAGACCTGGGAATACGAGTGGGAAGGAAAGTGAGCATGGGGTTGGCAGGAGGGTTTGGTTGAATATTTTTGTGGGTTTTTATTTTTTCATTTTTATTCCATATTTTTATATGTTCAGCTTCAAAGACTCCGTAAGGTTTTTTCGTTGGTTTTTTTTTCTTCTTTTTTTGTTTTTTTTTTTCTTTTCTTTTCTTTTTTTTTTTTTTCATGCCTGGATTTTGTTTCTTTAAAAAAGAAAAACTTTTAAAAATCCTTCTGGTAAAATCATTTTCATCATCATAAAAATCAGATTTTTAACAACACGATCACAGAGTACCCTGGGCACAGCGCCTGGGATAGGGACGGGGAGATG